GATTAATGTGTTGAGATTTTTTATTTATTTTTGTAATACACTGTGACCCATACGTTTTCGTATTCGAAATAATAAACGCAGTTCCCCCCCGACTAAAATAAACGTGCGTTCGATTGCCCTGCGATGGTCGTCGTGATGTGGGTTGTACATCCCGGAATTAACGGGACACGAGGTGTACTGCAGGCTATACAGTCGACACGATACGACGGTTATAATGGCCTACAATATAACGCGTCTCAAGCAAATCAAGGCCATGTACATGCACTGTTCAGTTACGCTCTCTGTCGCAAATCTATGTATTTAAGGCGTTCCTCACAGAGGATAATTTTTGTCGCCAACAACGTTGCCAACTTTTAAATCCTCATTATGGTTCTAGATTTGAAGCTTTCGTGACTGCAAGGATTCATACTCTTAGTTCTTTCGGTAAAGTCACGTAGGTAAAAAAATGAAATAAAAATTAATACAAATAAAAATCACGACGTTTCGGAGGCAACACAAGTCTCCGTCATCAGGTGGGACCGTCACAGCCAGATTTGCTGCATCACGTGACTTTACCGAAAGAACTAAGAGTATGAATCCTTCTTCTTGGTTCTTTCGGTAAAGTCACGTAGAAGGGAAGTAATAAAATAATAAAAATAAAACATAATAAAATATTTTATTATGTTTATTTTTTGTCGCCAACAACGTTGCCAACTTTTAAATCCTCATTATGGTTCTAGATTTGAAGCTTTCGTGACTGCAAGGATTCATACTCTTAGTTCTTTCGGTAAAGTCACGTAGGTAAAAAAATGAAATAAAAATTAATACAAATAAAAATCACGACGTTTCGGATAAAACATAATAAAATATTTTATTATGTTTTATTTTTATTATTTTATTACTTCCCTTCTACGTGACTTTACCGAAAGAACCAAGAAGATGGATCCCTGCAGTCACGAAAGCTTTAAATCGAAAAGTATGAATCCTCATTATGGCTTGCCGTCGCATTAATATGCATCACGTCGCTTTGGGGCGGTGACTCAGTGGCCTGCGAGCCGTGCTGCGTAATCCCGACATCTGAGTTGGATTTAGGGTGCACGGCTAACGTCAGTGGCGAAATACACCTCAAGCCGTCCTCGCCCCCCTCCTCCCTTCACCGACCCGCACTGACCGGCGTGGTGAAGTATGGTCAAACAGCTCCATGAGCGGCACGTCGTGGATAGGCATCCGTCCAGGAGTGGACTTGCCAGGGGGCTGCGATGCGTTTTAACGCAGCGACTGCATTCCTGCATTGGCGTCGTTTTTTTTTTTAAAGCGCGGTCCTTTGCGTAAATTTCCCGTTCATTTTACTACAGCGCCTCCAGCCCTCGTAAACATGTACGCACGCTGCTTTTAATAATAATAATAACAACAACAAATAATCGTAGGTGGCCCATAACCTGTCAATATATATGAGAGATTATTAAAAAGAAAGTCGACTTCTTTCGTACGCACACGATACGACCTCGATGCAAAAATGTTCACCGAAGATAGTGTTCGTGACCTTGTTTAAAGGTGGGGGGGGGGGGCATACATCAACTCGCAGGCAGGGGAGGGCACTGCACAGCCAATGTCAGACACATTTTAAACACCGCGCGTGCATTCTGCTCTGGCTCTGGGTCCCCTGTGTACACGCAGAATGACTGCGCAGCCCGTGACTGAATTGTGCTACACATTGCAGGATCAGAATATGTATTTATACTGGAAGAATCCGATGAGATATGAAGCTCTATCTAGCTCCACAACGCTACGGTGGTGGTGGGGGAGAGGAGTGGGGGGATAGTGGTGGTGGTGGTGGTGGGGGAGAGGAGTGGGGGGATGGTGGTGGTGGTGGTGGTGGGGGAGAGGAGTGGGGGGATAGTGGTGGTGGTGGGGGAGAGGAGTGGGGGGATGGTGGTGGTGGTGGTGGGGGAGAGGAGTGGGGTGATAGTGGTGGTGGTGGTGGGGGAGAGAAGTGGGGGGATGGTGGTGGTGGTGGGGGAGAGGAGTAGGGGGTGGTGTTGGTGGTGGTGGTGGTGGGGGAGAGGAGTGGGGGGATGGTGGTGGTGGTGGTGGTGGAGGAGAGGAGTGGGGTGATAGTGGTGGTGGTGGAGGAGAGGAGTGGGGTGATAGTGGTGGTGGTGGTGGGGGAGAGAAGTGGGGGGATGGTGGTGGTGGTGGGGGAGAGGAGTAGGGGGTGGTGTTGGTGGTGGTGGTGGTGGGGGAGAGGAGTGGGGGGATGGTGGTGGTGGTGGTGGGAGGAGTGGGAGGATGGTGGTGGTGGTGGGGGAGAAGAGTGGGGGGATGGTGGTGGTGTTGGTGGGGGAGAGGAGTGTGGGGATGGTGGTGGTGGTGGGGAAGAAGAGTGGGGGATGGTGGTGATGGTGGTGGTGGGGATGAGTGGGGGGATGGTGGTGATGTGGAGAGGAGTGGGGGGATGGTGGTGGTGGGGGGGGAGAGGAGTGGGGGGATGGTGGTGGTGGTGGTGGTGGTGGTGGAGGAGAGTAGTGGGGTGATAGTGGTGGTGGGGTTGGTGGGGAAGAGGAGTGGGGGGATAGTGGTGGTGGGGGGGCGAGAGGAGTGGGGTATTAGTGGTGGTGGGGGGGGGAGAGGAATGGGGGGATGGTGGTGGTGGTGGTGGGGGAGAGAAGTGGGGGGATGGTGGTGGTGGTGGGGGAGAGGAGTGGGGGGATGGTGGTGGTGGTGGGGGAGAGGAGTGGGGGGATGGTGGTGATGGTGGTGGTGGGGATGAGTGGGGGGATGGTGGTGGTGGGGAGAGGAGTGGGGGGATGGTGGTGGTGGTGGGGAAGAAGAGTGGGGGGATGGTGGTGATGGTGGTGGTGGGGATGAGTGGGGGGATGGTGGTGATGTGGAGAGGAGTGGGGGGATGGTGGTGGTGGGGGGGGAGAGGAGTGGGGGGATGGTGGTGGTGGTGGTGGTGGTGGAGGAGAGTAGTGGGGTGATAGTGGTGGTGGGGTTGGTGGGGAAGAGGAGTGGGGGGATAGTGGTGGTGGGGGGGCGAGAGGAGTGGGGTATTAGTGGTGGTGGGGGGGGAGAGGAATGGGGGGATGGTGGTGGTGGTGGTGGGGGAGAGAAGTGGGGGGATGGTGGTGGTGGTGGGGGAGAGGAGTGGGGGGATGGTGGTGGTGGTGGGGGAGAGGAGTGGGGGGATGGTGGTGATGGTGGTGGTGGGGATGAGTGGGGGGATGGTGGTGGTGGGGAGAGGAGTGGGGGGATGGTGGTGGTGGTGGGGAAGAAGAGTGGGGGGATGGTGGTGATGGTGGTGGTGGGGATGAGTGGGGGGATGGTGGTGGTGGGGAGAGGAGTGGGGGGATGGTGGTGGTGGTGGGGAAGAAGAGTGGGGGGATGGTGGTGATGGTGGTGGTGGGGATGAGTGGGGGGATGGTGGTGGTGGGGAGAGGAGTGGGGGGATGGTGGTGGTGGTGGGGGGAGGAGTGGGAGGATGGTGGTGGTGGTGGGGGAGAGGAGTGGGGGGATGGTGGTGGTGGTGGGGGAGAAGAGTGGGGGGATAGTGGTGGTGGGGGGGGGAGGAGTGGGGGGATGGTGGTGGGGGAGAGGAGTGGGGGGATGGTGGTGATGGTGGTGTTGGGGAAGAGGAGTGGGGGGGTGGTGATGGTGGTGAGGAAGAGGAGTGGGGGGATGGTGGTGGTGGTAGGAGAGAGGAGTGGGGGGATGGTGGTGGTGGTGGTGACGGGAAGACGTCGTACCCGGCTTTGATGTGCAATCACCGCCGCCCCCCGCGTGTCCGCTAGAATCTGACGACGGCAGAGATAGTGAGAGAGAGAGTGAGAGAGAGTGAGTGAGATAGAGAGTGAATGAGAGAGTGAGTGAGAGAGAGAGTGAGAGAAAGCGAGAGAGATTGCGAGCAGCGAACGACGGATTCGGCGTGAGCAGCCCGCGCTGTGCAAAGAGGCCACGCGTCGACTCGGTCTTAAATGAGTACCTAGTGCGATGTGTAAATATCGCCACTTGGGAGACAAAGGCGGCCGGGCGTGGGGCTGGTCACCCACCCCCTCGTGCGCTGTGCCGGCCTTCATCAGCGCTCGTGTAACAGCACTTGCCCCAACAATCTGTTAAGGCTACACGGGGGATCTTTGTGTGTGTGTATGTATATATTGGCCGATGAAGTGCTTTTACTTTCGCTTGGAATTGCTTATATTGTCCCTTACTTTTGGATTGGCAGAACATTTTTAAGGGCTGTGAGATGCTAATTACGACGAAAAATACGCCTATATTATTTAAAGTTTCATTCATTGTTGAGTGCCGTAAGCGATACACCTCGCTAATTCAGGGGTAGGGTGCCCCGGTATATCCCACGTGCTCACAAAATCCCGTAATTTGCATCCGCTCCAATAGCAGTTCTGCGATGCTATTGAAATATAAATATCGAATATCCGAACGTAAAATGCGATACGAAAAAAGGTAATCAGACTCAAGCCATCAAAACCACACGCCGATGCTGAAATGCACAACGCAATGCTGCAGTGGTTATACTGTTAAGGGCAGCGCTAAACCGGGACTGTCTGGTCCTTGACATGCTTGGAGACGCAGCAGCGAACGAATGAAAAATAACCAAGAATATGAATAAGCGAACGAATCATCATCGCCATTCGCAATGTTTACTTTTTGAGCTTCGGAGAGCAATACTTTATTTTTGTATTCCTGCAAAACGGTAGGGGGTCATCCCTTATGATAAGGCGGAACACGGCATGTATATCCGGCAATGTTACATCCACGCTGGAGTGGCAGCATCCAGTGAATGGCTTTTGAAGAGGCCGCGGTTCACAATCGCACGTTGACATTTATTTTCAGAGACTGGAAACCGTTTAAAAACATTAATTTATTGTCAAACCTTCGGTAAAGTAATTTTAAAAAACATCACCGAAAAGCGGCCCATTCTTAACTTTACATCAATGATTGAACGTCCAAGAACAGTCGTCCGTATACGAGTGTACCTGTATACAATTTACGCGTGTACCGTTGTGTTTTTTTTGCCGTTGTTAAATCACGTAGATAGTGTTTGCTGTGATTAATCGTCGGTAGCTCGTATGAACATCGCGTGGGCAACTCGCGAAGGCAACCGCACGCGGACATCTGCCGTGTCGTGGAGCGACCGTTCCCATTTGCAACGACTTGCAGTCGAGCCCGTGGCGAGCTCGAAAGCATTTGAAGCCGAATGTCGAATCGACGCCGTACGCCTGCCGCAAACCACGCCACAGCAAACCGTGCATTGATCTACAACAGCGCAGCAGCAGCAGCAGATTAAGGTGGCCATTGTATTACTTTTATTAATTTTAATAAAAAAAAATTACCTACGTGACTTTACCGAAAAAACCTAAGAACATGTATAGATATTCCCCACAACGACCTCCTATGTTTACATTCATTGCGAGGTGCTATACCCCGATAAAGCAGCGTGGCGACTGCGACAAATTTGCCGTCAATGCGTCCCGAGCTCGTTAGATCTCGGCAGCGAAGCGGTGCCGTGAGTCTAACTCAGGACTTGGATGGATGCCCGCAATGGCTTGCCAAGTGTTGTGTGCGCTGGGCTCTTGCGAGGTTGTTAGGAGGTGGGAAGTGGTCAGGTCGTCACCCTTCTCACGCGCGGCGAGTTGCTTCCCACACGAAGCCGAACGCTCGTGAATGGAATTGGCCAAATGTTTCAATGTAGGACCCTGCAGGCTTCCCTGTGCAAGCAATTCTACGTTGTTATTATTCTATGTTTTATTCATTAAAGCACAAGTGTTCATTTCACACGCGCTCTTTATGGAACCCCTACAAGGTAAGTAAAGGAATATTCATAGCCCACATGCTTAAACACAACACATTTAACATAAATCGAGTGCGTGTGACAGATGGTTTAAAATTAAAGATCGCCGTGTAAAAATAGCGTTTATATTGGAAAAGTCAATAGGCCATCACCACAATTCCATCCACCTACACCTCGCCATCGCTTCGCCTCCTCCTGCTAGACGTGTACGTGTTACGACGCGTCGATTGCAACGTGCAAATAAACTCCCGTTGTTCTCGTCAACGTCCTCAATGAGTCCGTCGCTGGTGCGTAAATGCCCTCGTCTCAATAGCCCGTCGTAGATAGCTGCGAGATGCTCTTTGACTGCAGCTGTCTCAGCTTGCGCCACCCTTCCAGGCAATCGAAGAGGGCAAGAAGCCCTTTGTCCACCACCGCGGGTAAGGGGTCCGCCAGCGGGTTGTTCCGAATGTGAAGCCCTCTGTCGACTGGGTGGTTGGCGATCCTGGGCAGGCGGACCAGTTGATCCAGGTCTACGGGGACAGTCCGGATCTGGTTGTAGTCCACGTTGAGTGTCTCCAGACGGGTTATCTCGCAGATGGAGGCGGGCAGGGCCTCGAGTCTGTTCCTCTCGGCGCTCAAAGTCTCCAGCCTTTGCAGCTCCCGAACGCTGTCCGGAAGGCTCGCGATGTCGTTTGAAGACACATCGAGGAACGTCAACGCTTTCATGTAGACGACGCAGCGGGGGACACGAGCGAGGGCGTTCACGCTCAGGTTCAGCTTGCGCAACCTCCTGAGCGCCACCAGCTCGTCTGGCAGGGATCTCAGCGAGTTGCTGGAAAGGCTGAGCACCTCAAGACTCTGGCACTTTGCGAGCTCGCGCGGCACCTCCACGAGGCGATTCCTGTTCGCGAACAGCGCCTTGAGCTTCCTCAGCATGCCGATCTCGGCGGGGAAGGCGATCAGATTGTTTCCGTCGAGCCCCAATACCACGAGGTTCTCCAGGCGGCCCGTGGCAGACGGCATCGTCGTCAGTCGGTTGCGCCAGAGGCCGAGTTTTTGCACTTCCCTGAGCTCGAAGAGAGAGGACGGCAACTCCGTGAGGTCCAGCCCCTCCAGGCTGAGAGAGACGAGCCGGTGGACGTATTTGAGCTCCTTTCGTAGGGCCCTTGCGGATAAAGCCGGAGACTTGCCACGCGAATAGCTCAATCCCATTCTCAGCACCGACGCGACGTTTGTCCTACAGATGGCACTTTGCAAGTCCCTGCGAGCGTCAATGGCTTTCACGGATACCTTTGGCAACGTCTCTTCATCGTCCTGGTACGCGTCTTTCTTTCTTTCTCACCTGCTGCCTATGCAATACAAAGCGGTGGGACGATAGGTTAGCGCAATAGGACGTAACTTGTACAACAACACGAACGACTGGTGAAGTAATTTCCGCTGCGCGCGGTTTTCGCGGTTGTTGCTGCACGTTGTCCGACGTTTCGCTCCACGTGCCTCTTCAGGAGCTGAATTAGAGGAGAAGCTCCCAGCGCGTGGAAAGAAACGCCGTGACATCATTCGGAACGACACGCGGCACGACCAGAACCAACCACAAATCTATCTTAGACTCGTCACTTTGGAAGCTTCCAAATGTTGTGTAACTGCACCGTACGCACATGCCACTCGGTTACCGTCACACACGGCGATGTGGAAGCGCGCTCGACGGCGTGGACCGACCGCGGCAGTCAGGGGCAGCAGCAGCAGCGTTCCCGCCGCCTCCTAAACCTTCACGCAAACGCGGCGCCTTCGTGGACCGCTCCCTCTGCACGCGGCTCCTTTTGTTTGTTTGTTTTGTGTTGCGCGCCGAATTGCCGCGGCCGCATTCGCGCGTCGCAGGCCGGTCACGGCCGCATCGCCGTCGCCCCTCGAAGTGCGAACGGAGGCAAAATGCGCGGCGCGGCTGGCCGGAACGCGACCTTCTTAATTCGCGGAAAAAATGCGCGGCCTTAACGTCCGCGGGGGACATTTGGCGACGGCTGTCTCACGATATCCCGGGGGAGAGGTTGAAACAAACAACAAAAAAACATAACCGCCGACCCCCCCCCCCCCCCACTGGCATAGACGCATCACGCCAAGTGGTCGTCGCGGTTTTGCGAAGCTGGCGCTCTTAGAGACGATTACCGTCGAACTTGATCAGCGCTTTCTTGGTTCTTTCGGTAAAGTCACGTAGAATGGAAATAATAAAATAAAACATAATGAAATAAAATATTACATAATAATAAAATAATATAATAATAAAATTATAACATTTTATTATATAATATAATTATATTATATAATAAAATAACAGCATAATTCTCACTATTATTTATTATTTTATTATTTCCATTCTACGTGACTTTACCGAAAGAACCAAGAAGATGAATCCCTGCAGTCACGAAAGCTTTAAATCGAAATTTTATCAGCGCTCGCGCGTGCTTTTGTTCTCTAGGCGTGACTCCAGCTGACTCGGCTGTGGTGATGAGTGTTATTGGGGTAGAGGTGTGTTACTCGAGGTGCTGAAACGGTGCCTCGGGAACTCCACAAGGCTTCTCCTTCTTACTCGTGTGGAAAACTGCAATTGCAATGCGCGCGTCAGACAACGGTCAAAGCACGCAGCTGTTGCGCCGAGTTGTGAAAGGGTTGGCGGGCGGGGTGCTGATGTGTGCTTTAAATAGAGCAGAGAGAGAACAGGGCATGAGGCACCACTGGGTACACGAGGCACCGGGGGATAAGGTTGACACATCGTCGCAGCATGATCCGCATGCTTTGGAATAAGTGCACCGATGTTGGAGGATACACTTGACACGGATGCGAATTCTGAAGCGGCATAAGTGCAGGCGATCGTGACTGACTGATGTCAACAACGGTGATGTTCGTGAAAAGACTAGCGATTATTAAATTCGACGCAACTGTAATGAGCATGCTTGGTTCTTTCGGTAAAGTCACGTAGATAGAAAAAAATAATTGAAAAAAAATTTCAATTAAAAATAAATTATATTAAAAAGTAAAATAAACCACGACGTTTGATTGCAACACAAGCGGAACTTTTTAAATTTTATTTTTATTTTCTATCTACCAAGAATATGAATTCCCGCAGTCACGAACGTTTTAAGTCAACTATAACGAGGTCTACGATTTCTTTACTGGTTAAACATCGAAAATGATGCGATCAATTATGGTACCGCGTGAACAATTCGCCACGGATGTTAATTGGTTTCATTTCCAGGCCAGGGTCATATCAACATTCTACATGGATTTTTTTAAAGCCATGTAGGATTTTCCAGACGTTGTAGGACTTGGGGCTATAAAGTAGCCAGGAGATGGCAGTGCTGAGTGTTACACCTTTGGGTTCCTCCGCACACGAAGCCAACCCCTCATTAACGAATTCACTCATCAATGCAGGACCCTCCTGAGAACGTGCCTTGAGACTCAATGCGGGTTCCCTGAGTAGCACGAATGTATAAAAATAACCATGCGCTGATGCCCATTGCAAGTGAACCAGGTAAAACAAACAAAATGTAAACACATTAACAGACGTGCTTCTAACGCCGTCCATTTGCGATGTGTTACATTAAACAGGTGAGGCGTTAAGCGCAGAACCGGCCCTAGACCTTTGGGGGCCCTAAGCAAAATTGGGTTGGAGGCCCCTTTGATGTATGATTTTTTTCACCCACTAGCTAGCAGTGACTCTAGGGGGCCCTCTGCTGGCCACGGGGCCCTTTGCAATTGCAAGGGTCGCTTAGTGGCTGGGCCGGCTCTGGTTAAGCGTATAGAAAATACCTTTATATTCGTGCAATAGAACACTGATATAAATACGGCAAATCCTTGCTTAACGCGTGTTTACACAACGCGTTTTCGCCTGAACGCAGTTCTTCCATTCGGGAACAATTTTCGCACAACGCAGAACGTGCCCGTTATAACACAGAACGCGCACGTTATAACGCAGAACACGCCCGTTATAACACAAAACACGCCCGTTATAAAACAGAACACGCCCGTTATAACGCAGAACATGTTCGTTATAACGCAGAACACGTCCGTTATAACACAGAACGCGCCCGTTATAACGCAGAACACGCCCGTTATAACACAGAACACGCCCGTTATAACACAGAACACGCCCGTTATAACGCAGAACGCGCCCATTATAACACAGAACGCGCCCGTTATAACGCAGAACGCGCCCGTTATAACGTGGTATCTGATCTGTTGGCGACGAGCTACTCTCTTGAGCGGTGCGGCTGAGCGGTGTAATACAGTGCGCGTATGTTCGCGAACGCAGGCGTTCCTCTTTCAGTCTCCCTATGCGATTCCAACAATGTTCGTATAAGAAGAGCAGGACGGAGTTCTTTTGGTAAGCTGAACTTGATTATGCAAGACAATCACATATCAAAGGACCTGCAGAACATTACCGACTATAACACGTGGATCAGAAACGTTGACAAAGATAACGCAAACTGGGCCAAAAGCTGACAAGTGTGAGAATCCGCGTGGATAGATGCATGCTCAGATTGCAATGAGAGACAGGATGATACAAATACGGATCAGGAACGAACACAAAATATTGCATGCTCAGTTAGCTTCGGTAGGACAATGCCCTGGAAACGATGATGCCCCATGGACGAGACTGGTGAAGGAATGACAGCCAAAGGAGGAAAAGAAAGTGCTCGAGAGGATAACCTCAATTTCCCTGTACGTTGAACGTCTGTTGACATGTGAAGGGGCTGGAAATTCACATTTACTGAAAACAATTTGGTCGCGGTCGATCTGATATTGGTTTTCTTTTCGCGTTATAATCATTAACAGGTGCTCGCTCCATGGACACAAATCACATGCACACGCAGCACAGACAACTATCTCCATATATATAAAAGGCAACGTTGTGATTGTGTGTCTGTTTAAAATGTTTAGCGTAAAGTCACGTAGAAGGGAAATAATAAAATAATAAAAATAAAACATTTTATTACGTTTTATTTTTTGTTATTGTATTATTTCCCTTCTACGTAATTTTACCGAAAAAAACCAAGAAGATGAATCCCTGCAGTCACGAAAGCTTTAATTCGAAAAATGTTTAGCGTACTTCCCGATATGCAACAAACTTGAAATCTGCCATGTGGGTACTTTCCAGACTGTACACATGCAAAAATTATTAAAATACACCTATTTGGGGGTTGGGGAGCTCAATAATGCATTTATTTTTTGCACGGCAATTGAGCTGTGGCGTCAAATCTGTCACGTGACCCGCGCACGTGGAAGCGTAACGCATTGTAGTGTCGTGGTTAGCGCGCTGCGCTACGAACCCGGCGACCCGAGTTCGTTTCCCGCTCACGGCCACCACCGGTAACGATTATTTCAACCGGTCCTGGGCCTCCCCTAGGTCAACTCAGCCTCAAACGAGTAACTGGTGTGCTGGCCACCCACCCCTCGTCTTCCATATAGCCTACACAGCTTATTGGGGAAAGGGCTGTTAGCGATTACTTACGAAGGCCAGAATGGCGTACACAAAGTATAAGTGGAAATGTTTACACACCGCACCGTGCGCTCAATTTAAAAGCCGAGTTGACCTGGGGGAGGCTCAGAAGCGATTCAAATATGTGCCACTATTGTTGCTCGTGAGCGGATAGCCGGGCGCAAACCGCTGCGCCACCGCTCTCTACCCACCGTACGCACACACAGCCCACACGGTTTAACACGGAGGCTTTCGCCGACCAAATATCATCCATAATAGAGGTGAATGTTGTGGCTTGGCTCTCCAACACACCGGTTAGTGCTGTACTAGTGACGAATTGGCCACGTGTTGTTTTACGTGACAACCCTTACTAAGTTGGCCGTGTCGGGTGGTGGCGGGTATTAACGACACATTTATTTATTTACGCGATCTAACCCCACTCCCCCCCCCTCTATTATGGACAACGCACACGCGCGACAGACGCGCACCACGCATTTATTGATCTCGCGCCCAACGCCTGTGACGGGCGTGTGAAAGAGAGGGTCTGGGGGTGGTCACGATCGCTCAAGGGGGTCCACGGGGGTATTTAGGTGGTGGGGGGGTAGGGAGGAGGTCCTCTGGGACCACCACGGCGTGCCGCCTGAGCGCATCGCTGACCGCAAGAGAGCGCTCGCTGCTGCTGCTGCTGCTCGCTGCTGCTGAACCCCCCCCCCCCCCACCGCGTCTCTCCTTGAGCCGGGAACGCGCCTCTCGGGCGCAGAGTGGAGCCGGCGTGCGTCATGGTCACACGCACACCGCGCGGTGAAGAGAGGCTCGGAGCGAAGCGGACGACTGACCGACTCCCTCCCTCCCTAGATTTGAAGCTTTCGTGACTTGCGAGGATTCATATTCGTAGGTTTTTTCGGTAAAGTCACGTAGGTAAAAAAAAAATAATAAAAGTGAAATTAAAAATAAAAATCACGACGTTTCGGAGTGAGCTGTGTATCACTTGATACAGCTGTCGTGCTGTGACTGTTTCCACCTGAAGACGGAAGCTTGTGTTGCCTCCGAAACGTCGTGATTTTTATTTTTTATTTAACTTTTATTAATTTTAAATTTTTACCTACGTGACTTTACCGAAAAAAACTAAGAATACGACTCCCTCCCCTCACCCCACCGCGGCGATTCCACCGGTGGTTCACGAGCAAAATTAAATAACAGATTCTTTGGAAGATGCGGATACCCAATGCACAAGTGGGGTGGGGGAGGGGAGGGGATCAAACATTACCCTCCTGCGTGCGACTGTGGGCTACGGACACCAAACGCCATGGACCACAGAACTTTGCACGGCCCCATGTATACATTTATAAAGGGCGGTGGGTGGGTGAGTTGGTGAGTTGGTGAGTGGGTGGGTGGGTGAGTGAGTGAGTGGGTGAGTGAGTGAGTGAGTGGGTGGGTCGGTGGGTGGGTGAGTAGGTGGGTGAGTGGGTGGGTGGGTGAGTGGGTGGGTGGGTGAGTAGGTGGGTGAGTTGGTGAGTTGGTGAGTGAGTGGGTGGGTGAGTGAGTGAGTGGGTGAGTGAGTGGGTGAGTGGGTGAGTGAGTGAGTGAGTGGGTGAGTGAGTGGGTGGGTGGGTGAGTGAGTGGGTGAGTAAGTGAGTGAGTGGGTGAGTGAGTGGGTAGGTGAGTGGGTGGATGGGTGAGTGAGTGAGTGGGTGAGTGAGTAAGTGGGTGAGTGAGTGGGTGGATGGGTGGGTGGATGAGTGGGTGGATGGGTGAGTGGGTGGATGGGTGAGTGGGAGGATAGGTGAGTGGATGGGTGAGCGGGTGGGTGAGTTGGTAGGTGAGTTGGTGGATGAGTTGGTGGGTGAGTTGGTTGAGTGAGTGGGCGGGTGTAACGGCAATTCACCAACTATCAGATACAGCAATGGAATTATTAAATCACGTAGAACTGGATCTGTAATTGTTGCACAGCATTCACCATGCGAACTCATCATCACAGATTATGTTGTTGTTGTCTTGTGTGTACTGCCACGGCTCTGCTGTGTGTCTCGATTGCTCTACAGCATAATCCATCTTTGTACTGTGCCTCGCTGTCTCGATCCGTCTTGTTTGCAATGTGGGTATTGCACATTTCGGTTTGCATATTGCCTTGTTCGTGTCGTCTCATTTATATTGAAGGAGTATAGTGACACGTAGAGTATCGTATCTGTACGGCACTTTCTTCTGTGGTGTTTGTACTGTGTGTTTAAGATCGGTTTTGTTTGTAACGTGTGTCACTTCTGCGCTGTCTGTCCCCGTGAATGTCCTCGCCTGTGCTGTCTCACCCCCTGCTGTCTCTCCCTCGTGTCATGCCTCTGGGTTGTGCTCACCACTGCGCCACAATCACCCCTACCATCAATCGCAGCCGTGTGTTTATTAGATATTTTGTATTCAAATTCGTAACACGCGCCCTAAGTGCAAAAACAAAGGTCACGACCACTTCCGAGTTGAGATGATTCCCGAGAGAAGGAGCCGTGGTTCGTCGCAGCGCGAGTGGCTCCACCAGGTTTGAGTCTGTGCACCTGCGGCGTCAGGACCCATACGTCACTGTCGTGGAGGAAAGAGGTGGGGGTTGTTGGAGGAGGTGGGGGTTGTTGTAGGAGGTGGGGTTGTTGTAGGAGGTGGGGGTTGTTGTAGGAGGTGGGGGTTGTAGGAGGTGGGGGTTGTTGGAGGAGGTGGGGGTTGTAGGAGGTGGGGGTTGTTGGAGGAGGTGGGGGTTGTAGGAGGTGGGGGTTGTTGTAGGAGGTGGGGGTTGTAGGAGGTGGGGGTTGTTGGAGGAGGTGGGGGTTGTAGGAGGTGGGGGTTGTAGGAGGTGGGGGTTGTTGGAGGAGGTGGGGGTTGTAGGAGGGGGTGCGGGTTGGAGGTGGAGGTTGAAGTAGGTGAGGGGTGTTGAAGGAGTCGAGGTTGTAGGAGGTGGGAGTTCAAGGAGGTGGGGGTTGTAGGAGGTGGGGGTTGTAGGAGGTGGGGGTTGTAGGAGGTGGGGGTTGGAGGAGGTGGGGGTTGTAGGAGGTGGGGGTTGTAGGAGGTGGGGGTTGTAGGAGGTGGGGGTTGGAGGAGGTGGGGGTTGTAGGAGGTGGGGGTTGTAGGAGGTGGGGGTTGTAGGAGGTGGGGGTTGTAGGAGGTGGGGGTTGTAGGAGGTGGGGGTTGTAGGAGGTGGGGGTTGTAGGAGGTGGGGGTTGTAAGAGGTGGGGGTTGTAGGAGGTGGGGGTTGTAGGAGGTGGGGGTTGTAGGAGGTGGGGGTTGTTGGAGGTGGAGGTTGAAGTAGGTGAGGGGTGTTGAAGGAGTCGAGGTTGTGGGAGGGGGTGGGGGTTGGAGGAGGAGGAGGTAGGGGTCGGAGGAGGAGGTGGGGGTCGTAGGAGATGGGGGTCAGAGGAGGTGGAGGAGGTGGGGGTAAGAGGAGGAGGTGGGGGTATGAGGAGGACGAGGTGGGGGTAGGAGGACGAGGTGGGGGTCGGATGAGGAGGTGGGAGTCGGAGGAGGAGCAGGAGGTGATGGGGGTTGGATAAGGTGGGTTAAAAACAGTAGGACTGATGCTACCCTGTAATTTCGGAGTTTGTAGTGAAATAAAAGGTTTGAAGGAAGTAACGCTTTGGTAAACGCCGACTCTCTCAACACACCGGTGTAGTTTCAAACGCCAACGGCATCAAGTGCAGCAGGGCTACTTGTTGAGAGATGTGTTGTAAATCACGATTCATATCGATGATTGCGATTATGCACATGTACGGGGGGTGAGTGAGCGAGGAGCGGTGGCGCAGTGCTACACAGCGCCGGTGGATCAATCGAGTTCGACACCTTGGCCCAAGGGCTCCTATCAGCGGCGACTAATATCTGAACCAAACCTGGGCACGCCGCTCCATTCAACCAACCCGCAACTGACCAGCGGGGTGAAGTATAGTCAAACAAGCACGTGGGAAAGGAGGGGGGGAGGCTGTCATCAGTAGCGGACCGCCAAACGGGCCGCTCACGTCCACGTGTTTGTGTATTGTGCCCAACGTCAAATCCACCGATTTGTCTCTCGTGCGAGACCAACATCGCACCACCCACAACCACCACCACCACCAACCCCACCACCTTTTGTTGTTGTTTGCCATGCACCCTGTGCCCAACGCCAATGGTCAATCCGCGCTGCGGGCGATGTGACGGATGACGGAGTCGCTGGAGGGTGGGAGGGAGTGGAGGGCAAAGGAGGAGGAGAAGAAGGGGGTGGATGGGGGAGGTGGATGGGTGGGTGGGTGAGCGTTTGAAGCGGGGTTTTCGTGCGCTGTGATCCCATTCATTGCGCATTTACTCGCCGCGCCTAGGATGGCGATGATGGTGCTGCGGCTGTTGCTGCTGCTGCTGCTGTGGGCAACACTTGTTGCGTTTTCGGCGAACGCTCAAGCACAGCAGAAAGGTAAGGGCATCCCGCAAGCGTTACACTTGCTCTGCAGCCTCCACCGCCACCACCATAGACAGCAGGCCCTTTCCAGACGTGACGGCCCTACGAAGACAATTTCGGCAGTAGGAGCGCGGCGTTGCTCGCTGATAAAGGCGCTGCCGAGTTTTGTTCGAGCCTTTGCTTTGTTGTCTTTTGAGTCTTTTTTGTTGCTGAAACTAATCGGACACGGTTGTATTTTTACGATAGACGCCACTTTTATGATCGTTTATGACATTGCTATGGTTGAAATTGTGTATAACTACTGATTAGATAGCCGTGTAATCTTGACTTAAAGCTTTCGTGACTGCAGGGATTCATATTCTTGGGTCTTTTGGTAAAGTCAAGTAGATAGGTAGATAGGTTCTTTGAACGTAGATTGTTTTTTTGAACCTATCTACGTGACTTTACCGACTGTACCGAAAGACCCAAGAATATGAACCGTGTACTCGTATTAAAAAAAAATCATGTTTTGTACGATTGTGAAGGAAACTCATTGGACGTGAAGCAAATAAAGTATCGGCTTCTATTTGACAGTCACGACAGAGAGAGGAGCGATATCTGTAACTTTTCTCAGTATATTTTTACAGACGGGTACCAGAAGCCGTTTGTCTTCCCCGTGAGTGGAGCGGCAGGAGTCTTCAAATGTTTATTTTCATTCTCTAATGCTCGCGTTACCGAATGATGTACGATCTGTTTGTTTTAACACCGCACCTCTCTGTACCTGTGAAATGTTTTGGTTTCAGAGGGGAGGGAAATGGGGGTTTTCAGGTATTCGCAGGAGCGCTCCAAATAGACACTTGCTTTAGCTCCCTCGTTTAACCAGCCGCTGCATTTAAAAAAGAAAAGATCGATGGGGAGGAGGAACGGACAGAGCCGGAATATTTCTGGGCTCAAGTTCTTATATTGTTATACGGGCACAATATGATCCTCTGTATTCCCGCAACGGGGCCCCGTACCGGAGTTTAAGTCGCAAACGCGGGGGCACGTTTTGTTGAATCCTCTTAGATGCGTGGTTTGTTTTTTGAAGAGAGTTCTGGTCGATTTCAAAACAACACGCTCCTACCGCGTGTGTCTAATTTTAACCCCTACGCTTTAAGAAGAAACAAAAAAGACTTATCACATCTTTCTTAACGAGACATCCTGTCTCCCCCCCACACACACCACCAACCCTCCCCCACCCATCCCTTCACCAACACGCAATGCTTAGCGTGGTGAAGTTAAGTCAAACACCCCGTTACCGGTAGGCTGTGGTGTGGGCAGCCTTCCTTCATCGATGGATTGGGAACAAGTGGGATTTGGAATATTTAAGTAAGAATTACTTGATGTAGCGGATACCATACGCAATACGTGACATATATTAACGTTTCCAAGATAACATCGTGGCTTTAAAAAAATGTAGTTTTGGTTATCGACACTTTTTGAAATGCACTTTTATGTTACATGGAGCGAGGAGCCCTTCTCTGTTCCTCTGTTAACTTTGGACAAAAGATTCCTCCATCCCCACCCACACCCCCATCCCCACCCACACCCCCATCCCCACCCACACCCCCATCCCCACCCACACCCTCCCCCTCTACAACCCCCACTACCCAGTCAACCAGTACCCACTGTGCCCCCCCCCCCACCACCCCCAAACCGTGGGAAGGCCCCTCCTCTCCCGCCTCCTAATCTCTCTTCTTCTCTAAAGCTACTGAAGGAAACCCTTGGCCCCCGGGGGGCAAACGAGTTTCGTCATTTACATTAACATTTCACCCTATACATACAAAACTTAGAGGCGGCAGCAAGTGGGATGCCTGTAATGAAATCAAATAGTCATTCATGACGGTGAAGCAATACGAGTAGCCTGCATTTTGTGACTTTCATTGGCGTGCGAGAAATGTACGGACTACTTTAAAAAAGTTACGTTTTGTTGATTCTTTTTTTGCTTCGTACTCACCGAAGGGATGCTGATGTGGTGAAATAGTTGGCTCACTGGACCGGCAGTTTAAACAACGGGAACAAGTTTTTCTTACATCCCCTCTGGCCTTCCCCCTCTATTCCCAGCAGTAAACACGAGTAGACCACCTTCAATCGGCTGGTCGCGTCTGGTGGGGTAAAGGGTGGATATCTCCCACGTCGTATGATCGTCGAAGAGGAGGCAAATACACAGGGGCGGATTGAGATTGTGTAGGCCCCTGGGTTACAGTTACTGTGAGGCCCCCAGTAATCTTCTTGGTTCTTTCGGTAAAGTCACGTAGAATGGAAATAATAAAATAATAAAAATAAAACATAATAAAATATTTATTTTAAAAAGGAAAACAAAGTTTAATAAAAATTTATTTTTTACAAGGCTAACAATAAATAAAATTCAGCATTCACAAACGAAATGACTTTTCACTTCATCTCTGGAGGGCTTCCAGCTGGCGGAGGCCCCTGGGCTTGCAGCCCCTAAAGCCCCCCACGCCTTAACCCGGCCCTGCCAATACCCTGTAGAGGGGCGCTTCAGTGCTCCCTCTAGTGGAGGATATTCTCCCGGCAGCGTGAAGTGCCAGGGTATGGGCCAGGGTTTGTGCTTGGTGTAATAGCGCGCACAGGCACTCCTAAAACAACGCGTTCAGTTTCGATTTAAAGCTTTCGTGACTGCAGGGATTCATCTTCTTGGTTCTTTCGGTAAAGTCACGTAAAATTAAAATAATAAAATAATACAAATGAAACAATAAATCTCACGACGTTTCGGCCACAACGCAAGCAGCCGTCCTCAGGTGGAGAACAGGTCTGTCGAGAATTCAGAGTATGACCTGTTCTCAGACCTGAGGACGGCTGCTTGCGTTGTGGCCGAAACGTCGTGAGATTTATTGTTTTATTTTAATTATTTTATTATTTCCATTCTACGTGACTTTACCGAAAACACCAAGAAGATGAACGCGTTCAGTGTTTACAGACCCGGCGAGTGAGCTTGCGAGGAGCATGGGGTGAGAATGTCCTTTTGTTAGGTTCTTGGAAAGCGTTGCTGTGTACATTGTTCTGTGAAACTGGTGGTGAATGTTGATGTTGTTGTTTTCTGGTATTTCATAAAATGCAGTGATTTGTCATTGCGATTGGGGTACGTGGCAAAACGTTTGTAGGAAGATGGTACCCAACGTATTAATTTCGCATTATAAATTACCGGTGGCATAAGTGTGGTGATTACGGCAATCACAAGCGGTTGTACGAGTCACGTTTGTTTGAGCATACTTCACCACGAAGAACGCTCAGAAGAGATTGTGGGTTTGGCCCAGGACTGGTTAAGATTGCTCTCACTACTGCCGTTACCCATAGATGAAAATCAAACTCAGGTTACCATTGCACTAACCAATGCACCACCGCTGCTTCCACACTTTTTGAAACCGACTAAGCTGACATTGAACATAGAGTGGTACTGCTTTTGCTTACGATGCTTTGAGTTTTGCTATCGGCAATTTTGAACATCGTAAACAAAGGCGGTCGAACCATTGTCTCTTTGATGTCAAAAGCCTCTCAGGAGATTAACGTGCGAGCCAGCGCGCCCGTAAATTAAAGTTCATATTTGAGAAGGTGAATTTCTGTGGTTGGAAAAAAAGACAGTTGTGTCCCATTTGGATCTCACCGTTTGCCTCTGCAGCTGTATTTATTGCATTTCATTTTGGCTGTCAAGGGGTATTAAAATGCTTTAACTGCATTACAGTTTATGCACAAACTCCACGCGTCCCTTGCCGTTATTGGTTTTACGGGCACAGGTAGTGACGCCAAACGGGCAATAAAAAATGCTCGCTTTTCCCACACCACCTGACCACACCCTCTGCTTCCCCAAAAGCCATGCAATTATCGAGCGGGTGTTAAGATAAAGTGTCATTGGCTGGTACAAAGGGGAGCCTAATGGATTTTCTTTGAAGTGGCTTTTTTGCCCCGTAACAGCAATGTTTGTAAAGCAAACGTCCCACAAACAAATGCATGCAACAGCTGCTAAATTAACACGCTGATAATGAAACGGCAGTGTTCAGTGTCGCCCAACACTGATTTCCTCTTGACGGTCAAGTGAAGTGTCTCGTGAAAATGCAACGAGACGGCGGATTAAAACTTTGGACAACATTTGGCCGTTTGGAGAGGCGTCACATCGGTTGGCCTACTCCGCTATGGACATTGTGACTGGAGTTCGATCGACTCACGTCTTCGGGGCTAACGTCATTCGGTGAGGCATACGTGGGGGGGGGGGATGCCCTTCATCAACCTGCACTCACCAGCATTGTGAAGTGTGGTCGACAGACGTGGTGAAGGGGAAGCCGTCATCCAGTGCGGATTGACAACGGGCAGCACATAAAATTATAAAAGTTTCAATTGTGCCGTGATAATGGTGGAGAGAAAACAAATAGTAACAAAAAACGTTGACATGTCCTATTGGCATGTCCAATAAGGCTAAGTATGATATATATATCCTAAAGAGTAGTATGTCACTGCAAGCAAATCATAGTTAAAGTTTCTTTTGGCAGGGTGCTGCATGTTTTGTAATAGCGTGTAGTGCGCGATGCACGGCGCAGATAGAGGCCACCCCCCCCCCCCCCCACATCGATGCTCCCACCACCGATGGAGAGAGCAGATTGAGTGTCGGCTTGAGATGCAAGGTGGCCAATCTTCGGCACGATAAGATTTCGGCGGATTTATGTATTTATTTATTTATTTGACGACGCCTCGCCTACCTCTGTCGACGAGCGCGTGGTACAGAGCAAAAGCGTGTTTCGAGCGTCGCATCACGTGGTGGCAGCGTTGGCGATTTCTGTTCAGCTGTGGTGACAGAGGTGGTGGTTACCGTGGAGGTTGAGGCAAGGTGGCTAGCATTGCCCTCATTGGCAGTCCGAGGAGTGAAATCGAATTTAGTCTAAAAATGTAACTCCCCCACCCACCCCCATTGTTAAGGGAATGTAAAGAGACGTTTTGGTTTAATTTCAACGGCAAAACGCAAAATGTGTCATTTTAGCACACTT